CTGGCTCTGGGCAAATCTGGGACACAAGTGCCTGTTTCCCCAGCTGTGGGGTTTCCTGCTTGAATCACTCAGTCCCTGGCTTCATACCAGTGTGAGAAATTTCCCTGGTGTCACAGCTAGGTCACTCATCCCGCCTGCCAGCTCAAATTAGATGCTGTGATTTGTGTCAGATCAGATTTTGGAAGGTTTGTTTCACACTGGTGATGTGCTGCACTTGCAGGGACAAAGGTGGTGGTGGGGGGAGAAGGAGGAGGATAAAGAGATTTCCTGAGAAATAAATATTTCTCTTCTCTTCTCTTCTCTTCTCTTCTCTTCTCTTCTCTTCTCTTCTCTTCTCTTCTCTTCTCTTCTCTTCTCTTCTCTTCTCTTCTCTTCTCTTCTCTTCTCTTCTCTTCTCTTCTCTTCTCTTCTCTTCTCTCCTCTTGAAACTCAGACTGTTTCCAACTCCTCACTTCTGAACTAAGATAATAGTGTATGGGCCATTCCTGTAGGCCCCACCAAGAGCCACCTCTCCGTGTTGTCATTGTATTTACCATTTTGATGCCTTCTTAGGATTGTGGCAGTTAGCAAGCTCTTCAAAATTGTTCTTTTCTTGACTCTTTTTTTCTGAAACAATATATAGTCTGGGTCTCTGCAATGGTTGGCAGATGGAACAAGGGTGCAGAGGAAGAGATGCTGTCTGAATATCCCCTCGCTATGGTCATAGTTAATAAAGCTTCTGTCTGACTTGTCCTGAATAGCACTTGGGTAATTACACACTTGGAGTCCCCATATTCTCCAACAAGGAACAGTGTGAGCCCTCTGTCCTGATGCCACGATCTTGGTCACATCATTGCGCCATGAGGACAGGCATAGGGAACATGGGAGACCTCACTCATGGTCTGGTCGGAAGATCTCCCATGATGGTATCCTGGTTGCTAAAGAGCAGCCACTTCAGCAGAGGGCACGGGAAGGGTCCTAACCACTGCCTGAGCTCCCCTGAGCACCTCTGCTCAGTGCACTCCAGCAATGAACCCAGCAGTACCGCCTCGTCTCTGCCAGCTCAACTCTCTAGCCCATAAAACAAGCAATTCCAGGTAGCAGCCAGCTGGAAAGGGGCCAGGTTTGGAAACTTCAGCTTGCCGTGGCACCATTGAGGTGGAAAGCAGTCAAACAGCAGTTGTGGTTCTCGGCACCCAGGGAGGATTTACGTTGCACTGGCAGCACGATGGGCACTGCTTTTAACAAGCAAGTCTTTAAGAGAAGCACTTGCCAAGTGTCAAAATATTTCTCAATGGTATTAAGGTCCTTTAGCAGCTGTAATTTAACTGTGAGGCAACCTGATGCAGGCAAAGGACCACACAGCTGGAAATTCGTGCCACAAAGGCACCGTTTTATGGCTCTTCAGCTGTTGGCCTCTCTACGTTGTAAAGCTGTTAAACAAACACAGCCCTTGGCTCACACCACATGCTGGTGAGGCACAGTGCTTGGCCAGGAGTGGGCTGACAGCAGCCTGGGCTTCAAAGGAGGCAAGAAGAAACAGAAATAAGGATAGAAGGAAAATTCCCATGGAGGAGGAGATGCAGGGGCCACCATAGCCCCACGGTGGGAGATGGTGGTCTTGGAAACAGAGCGTGTAGGTTCATGTGGAGTTGCATGCTCCTCTGGTTTGGCATGGGCTGTGGTTGCCATGCACACGTGGACCCTGTGTATCCTACTGCTCTTGCAGCTGGTCGTTGGTAGGCCCTTAAATCACCTTCTTGCAGGAAGGTGATACTCTAAGAAAGCCTAAACATGAAAAGTCTGGGTGTTTTTCATAGCTTTGGATGGGGCAATAGGTGTCCCACAAGGATGGGCCACGTGCTGCAGGCTGTGTCCCCTTTGCCACGTGTTGCTGGGTGTTGAAGCAAGGTCCATTAGTGCCACAAGATGCTCCAAGAGCAGTCCCAGCCTGGCAAACACAAGCTGAGCCCTTTTCCTAATGGAGTCATAGCAAATACACAAGGAGGAATTAAAATACACTTGCTGAGGTGAGTGTTTAAAAATTCAAAGAAAAGAGGAAAATCTCCACAAAAATAAGAAGGTTCCTGGAAATTTCTGCATGATTTCCTTCCATTCCTTTCTAATGGTCAGTGCTTATTCCTCTGGCTCAGAAGCTGATCTGAGGAGACAAGAACGGCTGGGCCAAATGTGGAGATGTATCCAGCTGTGCTGCCTGCAGCTGTCTGTCCAGGACAGGCAGTCCAGGACCTGCTGCCATGAGCTGTTTTTCTCCATCAGAAGCTGTTTTAGAAGAAAACTTTGGTGACCCTTTATCATCAGGAAGGCAACAGGCAGAGATGGACAGGGTGGTCATCCCAGGTTGGTGGGGCTGTTGCCCTGCCCCAGGGTCCCACCCTCCAGTAATACTCTAGCTCCTGAAGCTTCCCAAGAAATTTTGTCCTGGCAGGATCAGTTCTTTTGCAACCAGCTTATGTTCAGACTTACCCAATACCACCAGACTGCATGTTATACTGTTTTCTCTGCCAAATATTGACTGTGTGGGGCTTTCCATTGCTACCAGACGGACCAAAGAGAACTAGAGAAGTTGTGGCTCTCGCATTGCCATTAAAAAGGGAAGCTGTGGTAGCATCGTCGGCTTTGCTTGCAGCATTTCCTCTTATTTTTTCCAGAAAAGCTCTAAATTCTGGAGTTTCTGTAGTTTGTGGGGTTTTTAATGCAACTTCTCAGCCCTGAAGGGATGCAGCAAGACTTGACTCCAAACAGATGGAAAACAAGGAGCCAAGCAGCAAGAACTGGTGTTGGATGTCTTCATCCAGGTGGTTTTTCATGTGTGGTTGCACAACTTGATCTTCTTTCACACCTCATCACTGATATGTGCCCATGGCTTAGTCCTGCCAAGTGGCTGCAAAGAAATGGCTCAGTGTTAATGGGAAGAAGCTAATAGGACATTTTCCACCTAGAGCCAGAAAACATGATGATTTTGGTTCCCAGTGATTTAGGTGATCCATTTTGAGGAGATGGACTAGCAAATTACTGCTGCTGCCTGGTGAAATCGTTTTTTCCCCTCCCTGATGGACACAGCTCTGACGTGTGGGTTTTGTTTTTTTTTTTTCATCTAAAAGCAGACGCTTTGATGAGAAGTGGTTGAGTGTGTCTTGGATGAAACCAAAATCTGCCAGCTTTGCACGTCCTCTCGCTAAAGCAATTTGCTGCTCCACTGCCTTTGGAAGATTGCACTGAAGTCACTTTCCTGGCACTGGGAGCCTGTTTGAGAACTAGTGCAAAGCTAATTTGGTTACAAATCTCAAAGACACCAGCAAAGGCTATTTTTAAGACTTTGAGGAGTACAGTGCTACTCAGACCATTCAGAGAAAACATTGCACAGGATTCTTACCTGTACTTCAGCCATCAAATTCTCCAGAATTGTGGGATCTTGGTGCAGCTGGCTGACTGAGATGTCCCCATAGCCAGTATCCAAAGCCTCACAGGGCTGTGGTCACCTCCCAGGGAACATCATGGGGGTCCCAACACACCACTTGCCTTGCTGCCTCTCATGGGTTACTGTCACGAGACAGTGTCAAAAGTCACTGGTCAAAGGTCGTTTGCCACAGTTACTAAAGAAGTTTGTGGCTGTTGGTTCTTCCTTCTAAGGGACATCATGTGATTCCTCATGACTGGTGTTTTAAAAAAAATAAGAGTAACATAAATGTCAATTTAAAACAAAACAAAAAAAAAAAGATGAGTCCACAGTTGAGGCAGGATGGTGGGGATCACATCCCCTCCCTTGGATCTTTTGGTGCAAACTGAGGTCACTGCTGGGTGATGCTGGTGACAATCCACATCACCCCACTCATCTGCATGGGCTTTATCCAGCCTGGGTTGTTCATGCACATCTCAAACCTTCACTGCCTTCTGAGAACAAACTCGGATGTTCTAAGGACTACCTTTAGACATAGTCCTTCCCTTCCACAGACAGTTGGAGCTGAACCCTCTGCTAGGCAGCATAGCTCTGTGGTGGGGAGCAGCTCGAGGCGGTCTCTCATGCTGTGCATCCCTCCCGCAGGCACCAGGTTGTTTGTGCAGAGCCCACCCCCAAAAAACCATCCCTCCAGCCCGTGGGATGGGGAGTTAAATGTGCACAATTCTCTGTGTAAGCCGAGGCATAGCATCTAGCACATGATCACCGTGGCTGTTCCCCACCCTGTGAGCTCCCCACTGCATCTGTCATGGGGAGAGCAGAGGGTCTGCAGCTCCAGTGCCAGGGCTGGTGGCTGACATTTACTTTGCCTTCACCCCATGAGTCCGTTCCCTGTGTGGTTTGGCCGGGGTCCACCTTCAGCAGTGCTCAGAAGAATCAATGATAACCTTTTCCTTTGCTAAAGAGTGTTCTACATACTGAGCAGCAGAAGGTACTGAAAAATAATGAACTTTGGATTCTCCGTGGGTCTCCCTGGCATTATTCCTGATATTAAAAAACCAAACCAGTTCCCTACTGGTTTTATTAGCCTTTCTATCCTGGCATTTAAACAGAGATGGGGTTGGTGTGATCGGTATCTTCAGGCATGTGCTGTGATGCTCCAGGGGTTTCTCTGAAGGGCAGGATACCCAGCGTGCTGTGTCTGAGCTCCTCCAAACTGCTGGGAGGCATTTTGGCACTGGGGTTGCTGGGAATGCCACCCTGCACATCAAGGAGGGAAGGGTATTTGGGTCTTAGGGGTGCAGCTGGGCTGTAGGGTAGGAGCAAGGTTGCTCTGAGCCTCAAGGCTAGCACTTCTTGGGGTCATCTTAAGCTACAAAGGTATTTTGGTGTTTGATTCTCCCTGGTAACCAGTGGGATTTCATTATTAAAGTGATGAACTGAGCTGGATCTGTGCACCTCTTGCAGGGATGTCCTGAGCAGCATCATGTCCAGAGAGGCATCATGTCCATCTGTGCCGCCCTGTGCCTGGCAGCGGTTTCTTGGCACTCACAACCTGAGCAATGGGGTTCATGCTGCCTCTGTTCTTGGTTGCAGGCATGGAAGAAACGCTGGTTTGTCCTGCGCAGTGGTCGGATGAGTGGCGACCCCGATGTCCTGGAGTACTACAAAAATGACCACTCCAAGAAACCTTTGCGTGTGATCAACCTCAATTTCTGTGAGCAAGTGGATGCAGGCCTGACCTTCAACAAGAAGGAGCTGCAAGACAGCTATATCTTTGACATCAAGACCAGCGACAGGACCTTCTACCTTGTGGCTGAGTCTGAGGACGACATGAACAAATGGGTCCGCAGCATCTGCCAGATCTGTGGCTTCAACCAGTCCGAGGAGAACACAGGTACCGTGGGAGCCGTGTCTGTGACCGAGAACATCTCCTGTCCTGTCCCTCTAGCAGTGCCCAGCTCCTCGTTCAGATCAGACCTGTGAGAGGGTGTGAGGCTGGGAGGGCTGGAATGGGAAATGATGGACACATGGGAAACCTCCATGAGACTTTCATACCTTTGATGTCTGAAGCAGAGCAGGGTTGACCCCTGTGAGCCACCTAATTATTTTTCCCCTCATAACTGTAGACCTTAGAGTCTTTTCTAAGCAGTTTGTGGGGCTTTTTTAGCTGCAGCCTTCACCCTCATCCATCACCAGAGTCCCTTTGCGAGTTGTGGGGACCAGCAGTGAAAATCTCCCTCATTCAGAGGTTTCAGTCCCTTGGTGGAGTAGGGAAAAAGCTTTACTGGGACCATGCGCCCCGCCCCCCGTTGTTGTCCCCACTGCTGACACACTCATGCGAAGGACAGACACGTCCTCCTCACCTGCATCCCCATCTCCTCCTGGAACCTGCTGGGAGGGGAGAGGAAGACATGGTGTGGTTTTGTGCAGCGGTGGGACCTGTTCCACTGGTTGTACTCCACCATCCAAATGAAGTTGCACTTTGGGAGGCCTCTGTGGTGAGCACCGGCGAGCTGCCTCCACTTCTCCATCAGCACGAGGGCTCACATAAGCCAAGTGAGGTGGGATGGGTGGTGAGCATGGGGTACAGAGCTGCAGTCACCTGCCAGTCCCATTAACCTGGAGCCACTTCTGAGCATCTTCATCTCTTTCATGGTCCGGTCTCATCCAGGGGACTCTAGTCTTGTGCTCTGTGTGCAACTCCCTGTAGTAACGTCCAGCTTGGGTCTGTTTCACTCCCTCGTGAGCAGCTGTGGGAGGTGAAACCCTGCCAAGAGCTTGTCAGGCAGGGCAGCAGACATGGCATCACAGTGGCATGGGTGCTACCTTCACCAACTGACGTGTGGAACGGGATGTCACCTTGGCAATGGGTGCACAAGTGGTAGAAGGGATCCGTGGTAATGCCACCGGCATGGTCTTTCAGGGCAAGTCCAATAAATTACATCTCATTCCAATGTGAGCAGCACAGTCCTTGAGGTGCAAGCCCCTTTTTTTAGAGCTGTTTGGTTGCAGGATTTTCCATTTTGTGCGCGTTCAGCTGGGGGAACTGGTTTTCTTCCCATTTAGTAAAATGAGCTTTCAGCCCAGCAGCAGTGGGATCGATACTGGACTTCAGTGAAATATAAATCTGGGCAGCAAAAGGAAAAAAAATCTCCCGTTTGCAAGTACATCTGTCCCAAAAGGCACACGGGGCTCATCAGGCTGCAGAGATCCAAACGCTGTTCCCTGCGGGATCATGGAGTGACATCAGCAAAAGAGAAACAAAAATCCCTATTTGTAACAAAATCACAGCTCATTAATGCTGTAGGGCAAGTACCCACTTGAAACAGTACCCAGCTGCCAAAGCATGGTTTTCTGAGTCAGCTGAGAAAAAGCCTGCGACAGTGAATGTAGCAGATGTGTCCAGATGCTGAAGAAAAGAGGGAGCATGAATTATTCAGGGCTGGCTCTTCGCTTTGGTGCTCACCGAAGTGGTGACCCCACACTCACCTTTCCTTCACCGTCCCTGCTAAGTAATGGCAAATAAATCATTGATTTCCCAAAGCAGATAATGTTTGTTTGAAGGACTCACAGCCTGAGGCTGGCTGGAGATGTTGAGGCATTGTTGGAGAGTGAAGGATACTGGGAGTCTTGTCCATCTTGGTGTCCGTAAGCCCATCACCCATCCTTTGTGGTGGGTCAGATGAAGGGAAAAACAAAGCAGTCATAGCAATATTTGTAACTACTGTGCTCCATCACCTCCTCTAACCTATGGGTTGAGGGATGGGAGAGGAGGAGGAGTTTGCATGAGGTTAAGACCGTTCTTGGGTAGAAATAGAGCTTGGGACGTCTGGCATTTCTTTCTTAGACCTTCACCCCCTCATCCTCAAGACTCTCTGTGCCTTGTGGCCTCTGCTTTGGAGAATGAATGAGTCAGTGATTGGACGCACCAAAAAGGAGAGAAAAAGGTAACCATCGTGGGCAGGAATAGCTCCATGCTAATTGTAGCAATTAATTAACTAAACCTCCTTCTCCCGGCAGACAGAAGGAGAGCAGAAACTACCAGGGAAGCCACTGTGCACATTTTTCTGGTTGTACTCGCTCCTGGGTGGGTCACTGCTTTATGCTGACCTGAAAGCCGTGCTGGGTCTGGCCCCAAAGCAGGACATTTTCCAGCTGGGTTATATTCTCATCCTGGCCAGGGAAAAGCTCTATCACCAGCAACAGCATCTACTACAGTTGCCATCACATGCTGAATGAAGGGAAACCCCACAGCAGCTGAGCCCCAGCCACTGGTCATGAGTTTGCTCTTAACCCACCAGTGGTGGAGAAAAAAATCAACTTCTGGAGTAGTTTGGGTAAAAGCCCATTTTGCCAGGTCCCCACAAGAGCAGGAGAAGATTTGGGTTTGGTTGCTTTTTAGCATAATTTAGTGAGCAAATGGGCAACCTGAAAGCAGTGGTGCAGGCTGACTGCAGGTCCTCTGCACTGGCACGAGACAGGCAAAAAAATTAAAAGGCCAAAGAAATTGGAGGTCAAGGGAGACCTTCTTGCTCTCTACAACTCACTGAAAGGAGGCTGTAGTAAGGTGGGTGTTGGGTTGGTCTCTTCTTCCAGTGATAGGACAAGAAGAAATGGGTTTAAGTTGTGGCAGAGGAGTTTTCGACTGAATATTAGGAAGAATTTCTTCATTGAAAGAATGGTGAGGCCTTCGCCTAGGCTGCCCAGGGCAGTGGGGGAGTCACCATATCTGGAGGGGTCCAAAAAATGTGTAGACGTAGTACTTGGGGACATGGTTTAGTCATCATGGTAGTTTTGGCTTGATGGTTGGACTTGATCTTAGAAGTCTTTTCCAACCTCCATGAGTCTATGAAATTTATACTCTTTGATGGTTTTTTTTTTTCCTCTCTGTTTGCAGCTCGAATGAAGAGTGTAAATTTTCTGTCGCTTGGTTTTCACATTAGTCCTTCATGTCCCGTCTAGACTGGGGGACCCAAAGGATTAAGAAATAGGCTGAGTCTGGGGCGGTTTGACATCGTGCTTGGGTTAGCAGCTGGTTGAGCTGATGGCCAGCTGCGTTCCACATCTGGAAACTCATTCCAGCCTCAGGGACCCACATGTCAGCGGCGCAGTGGGTTCTGCCGCACTGGTGGCTCCGTTCTCCAGCCAACCTGAAAAGAATTGCAGAGCAGCACGATGACATCTGCCAGGAGAAGGGAAATTGGGTTGACTCCAAGGTGTTTGCCCAGGCTGTGGTGAAGCTTTTTGTTTTTAACCTATTTGCTGGGAGAGAGAGTTAGGATTTTTGACCAAGTGGAGCCTTGCAGTATCCCGGCTCCTCTACAGGTCCTGGGAAGGTGATGGTGCTCGAGGGGAGGTTTGCTCCTGGCTCAGGGCTGCTTTTACACTGCAGTTTGCTCTGCTACTGCTTCAGCAGGCTCGAAGCCGATGGAGAGAGACCTGGGGGGGACCCCGAGCCAGAGGCTGGGGGGGGAACGACAGCAT